AAAGAGTATAAAACAAAAATCATCTAAAACATTCAATTAAAATTTTCTTATAAAATAACATATATTGATAAATTGAAGATGGTAATAAAAACTTATTTTAAAACAATTTTCTATAAAGGAAAATTTGAAAATTTAACAATAAACAATTAAATAATCTGATTGTGGTGATCTAAAAAAAATCAGTCAGTTAGTTAAGAAAAAAGAAATTACATATGTCAGAAACTTTATAATATTCTAGAACATTGATGATTTTTTCAGAATGTATCAAGTACCAAATTACACCGAGACTGTGTCAATGAAGCTATCAGAGGTTCTGGCTGATATAGGTGTTGATGAGAGAATAGTGATGAAAAAAAGAAGAACATGGCTTCTGGTGGAATCAATACACAATCTTAATTATCAACTACTTGATAAAAAACTCAAAGGATACATTTTTGGGAGCCAATCAGAATGTACAACTACAATTGGAATGAAATCAGACATAGATCATCTTATTTGTTTAAAAATATTCCCTGCGATACAAGACTGGAGTGACTGGATACCTGGTGTACATAATCATTTGATGATTCAAGATAATTCTATATCTCCTGGATATTGTTTACTTCAAGTGCTGAAACCTGATGCTCCTCTTCCTGCTGATGGTGAATTTGACCAAGACTTATTCAAAGAGATAACAGGAAAATTGTTTTTAAAGAATTCTATAATATCTAGTGTAAATACAGATGGATTAGAATTACATGGACCAGCATATGCACAACAAGGACAACAAGGCTACAGTGATAAGGATAGTGTGTTGGCTCTACATTGTACAACATGGCCGCAACAAGCAAGGCAATGGTTAGTTCAACAAGGGGCAGGTCAATGGCCGTCTGCTGAAATGAAACAATATTGCAGCAAAACTGGATGCTTTGTTGTTCCTGTTGGATGTAGTGGCAGTGGATATGAGCAACTTGAATGGAGAATATCAACATCTTTAACAGAAAGGTGTTTAATGTTCAGCCTGAATATGACACAGATTCGCTGTTATGTCTTGATGAAAATTATTTTAAAAACATTTATAAATCCATTGTTTAATGACGTTATCACAAGTTTTATGTGTAAAACTGTACTCTTCCACTGTATATCCAATACACATTCTAACATTTGGAGAGAAAATAATTTACTTTCTTGTCTATCACTGTGTTTATATCTCCTGTACAACAATATCATTAATGAAAATTGTCCACATTTTATCATACCTGGGAACAATTTAATGAGGGGAAATATTTTACCTGCAGTTAAACCATATATTCTGGAAATGCTCAACAATATCATCAACAGTGAAGGAGTGGCAATACTTAGGATTAAATGTGATGGTCTTGGTTCCAGGCTTCATCTCAAGTTTTATAACTTCTGTCCAATCAAGACAATTGACAGTATTTCAGGAACTCTATTATGTAATCTGGCTTATAAAATATCTGAGACACTGACACATACTTATAATCATCTTAAGAACAGAAGTCCTAATGAAGCTGTAAAAATATTAAAGAACACAATACCAAAGTCATTCAACTTTCAATATGAAGGATTGTATAAGACAGCCAGTCATCTTCTGTTACCATGGTATTGTACAATACTTGGATCTGTCCTTGCTTCACTAAACATCTATCATTACAACACTGTATCAGCAGATGCCCTCAAACTCATCTCACTTGGTATGAATACAGATGTTGCATCAAGTAAACTGAAACTAGCTTCAATTCTATATTGTGTACAAGAAATACAAAAAGCTGACTCAGTACTCAGTGAGATTGAAAGAAGATATGATCTACAAATTGTTGAGCCTGTCTGTAGTTGTTATATATTTGAGAAGGAAACCATTAAGACCAGGATTCTTTGAATTATGTGACAATCATAATGAAGAAGTCTTACAGTATACAACAGCATCATGTGTTACATTTCTGCCATGTGAAATTCACTGTGTACCAAATGAACTCAGGTATGAAATGTTTAGATCTACACAAGAGGACAGAATGTTTCGTACAGAAGAAGACAACAAATGGATGGATTGTGCTGTGGTGGATTCCCTCCCTTACCTCTACTTTCTACAATACAAAGTTTACAGCCATCTTGGAAGACATGACCAGAAACAAGCTGCTCTCTTCAAACTTATCAGAACCATAAAAGAGGAACCAAACCTTGGACATCGGGAAACAGCTCTAAATCTTCTCGGAAAATGCATGGAACAAGAAGGTAGAGCTGGAGACGCTTTACAGTGTTATTTAATGTCACTTAATATAAGGGGGAGAAACAATGCTGCAAAGATTCATATTTGTATACTCCTATCTGCACTGATAAATTCAAGGACATAAAAGGTGACAATATGTTAAAAAGGAGGACAGTCAGAAAGAAATGAACAAGCTATAATTCATAACCCCGCAAAATATTGTTGTCAAATGATGTGATCCAAGCTATCCAAACGAGCATTATCAACTTTGTTTATACCGTAAACAAAACAATGACCTTTAACATCACGTTGTATGGAAGTTTGGAGGCTAAAAGAACTTCCAGCAATCCAGGAAGCATAATTTTTTTTAGCATATTTGAAAACCAGACCTGAGAGTGTACCCATATAATTACATTACAGAATTTGGCCTGCAGATGAATATAGCCAAGTTATATTCATGGAAAAATAGTTTAATTGGTAATAAAACCTTTAGTCTTAAAAGCTTAAGCACTGCCATTCAGATATTACAGGCATTGTCATTCAAATATGACTACACACTAATACAATGAGGATACTGTTTACCTTGATAAATGGTTCCTTCATCTTGTGTAAGTTTCTGTACTGTATCCTTGGTAATGAGTAGCTGACCTTTATTACTATCTAACTCGACCTTGGTGTTACTAAGTTCATTCTTCATGGTAGATAACTCCTCCTCTCTATCTTCCAGTTCCCTCTACAAGTTATATATTAGTTATTATTTTTTCAGAGTACATTGTATATATTATAATATAGGCAGGCCTTCTATAAATGATTGTTTGTAAATATAAACTGAGCCGCCAGACAAAGGCTGCATTGCAAAACAATCAATTTATATAATGCTATATACCCTGATAGGAATAATGAAAGGAATATTTATATTGATAATCAGTGCGATAGACTAGGTTAATTTGTACTTACTAGTTTTTCAAAATTGTTACTTACCAGAACAATAATTGAAGTATTATAGTAGGCATGCTGATTCAATTCTTAAATATTTCATAAAACTTTTGAATTCTCAATAAGCTTATACAGTCAACTATACCTTTGTATTTTGTAACTTTAAATGAAAGACATCAAGTGTACTTGTTGATGATGTAACTACGAGGGTTGTTCGGAAAGTTTTGAGATTGGGTCAATATTTAGCGTTGGAAAAGATAAAATCAAACAAGAGTTTACTATGTATTACTTTAATACCTCATCTATTATAGTGTAAAATTTCATAAGAATAGCTTCATGTATACAAAAGCTACAAAGCGTTAGGCACAGACACTACCGGTGACCCGGCGCACGCAACGACGTTATCCGACGTTGCCGTTATTTCCAAAGTTTAACGTCACCGTAGAAAAGTCAACTGCTACTCCTTTTCAAAGTATCTTCCTTCACAACGTACATCGAAACCCTAGACATTGCAAGTGTCTCAGTTAACATTTTGTGAGCAGTTGCCGTACCTACATCACAAACTTCTGCAACTTCTCTTACTGTTATGCGACGGTCGCACTGAAGCGCTTTTCTTGCAAGTGTCAGTTTATCGTCGATGACGGATGGGCGACCGCTCCTTTCCTTGTCTTTTGTTGACGTTCTGCCATCTCGAAACTCTTTATGCCATCTAAATACCAATGGTCGACTAACAGTACGTCCGTTGTTTGCCTGTTCTAGAAGTTGCTTAGTTTCTGTTGGCGTTTTCCCAAGATTAACGCAAAACTTAATAAAAACACGCTGTTCCTCTTTTGACGGTGTTTCCATAGCCGTTGTCTTGTCGCGCACGTATTGCTATAATGATCTGCGGTAACGGCTTAAACAACTAGCGGAAATGACGTCCTTAAGTTGGAAGTGACGTCATAAAATTTTCGTGACGTTTGGCGCAATTTTAGGGGCTCTTTTTATTCAGTAAGAAAACTTATAACAAGAAAATAGTCCGTGCGCCAGGATGCGTAGACAGGTGTTGCTATGGAAACGATTATATGCCGTATAGTAACGTTACAACGTTTTAAAGAGATAACTCGGATAAATAACATATTAAGCTATAATTTGTATTAAATAATATTCGCATCTGTAATTAGAAACAGAGAAAATCATATTGTCTCAAAACTTTCCGAACAACCCTCCTAAATGTTTAACTAAGTTCCTATTGAACCATCTCTGCATGTATAGTTTCATACTTGTAGTAACTATTTTTCATTATGTAAAAAGTCAAAATGTTTTTATAAAAATGTTAAATACAATTAAACTATATTATTGTGGTTGAATTTTGTCTTCTTTTTAAAGCAACTTAATCTAACAAAACATATGACCAAAATTACTCTTCTTAATAATCTTAAAGTTTTTTAGTTTGGTTTTACATCCCAACAAAACTGTAAAGGTCATATGGCGACTATCCAGCATAACTGGTGGAGGATGCCATCACATGCCCCCCCCCCTCTTTGCCTTATTTCAGACACAAACAGGCTCCTGAGAAGAACTATTATGAAGGCTAGCTGGACAGCTTCCTCAACTGAAAGAATCCAATATCCCTGGCAGGATTTGAGCCTACAGTGATAGGGAGCAAGTTGTTTGAAGTCAATGACCTTGACCTCTTGGTCACAGATAACAAATACTAGTAATCATTATGTTTATGTGGCACCAACATTTTAAACGTCAAATACTGAATTTTAAGCTTTACCAGTAGACTTGAGGTGCGCTTCTGAGCATAGTTTCAGGCATGAACGGGCACCTAAGTAGAACAGGTTAGATGGATAGTTTTTCCTCACATTTAAGGATACAAAGTCAATGGTCAGGATTCAAACACATAGTGGTGAGGGACAATGAATCAGAAGTCAATGACCATAACTACTCCGCATAGGATGCGCAACATAATCATTCAGAAAAAGAATAGTTTAAGAAAACTGTAAAATAACTTATAAAGAATACCAACTTTTAGCTTGTCGACAACTTCTAGCTCAGACTGGTATTTATCACATAGTACTGTATGATCGTGCTGTAAAACTTCAAAGTCATGTGACAATATTTTATAATCTTCCATCCATTTAGAGACTGAATTTTTCTCCTCTGCTAGCTGTAAATAACATCAACAACTAAACAGAAACTGTAACATTGTATAACAGAAAACGGTAAACAGAACCAAGTTAACACATCATATATGTTAAATTTACTTGGTGATAGCATTAGTTTAACAATTGAACATTTACTTTAAATCTTTCCTCTTTCTTATGCTGTGTTCTCACCGCCGATCAGATCAACTCGATCAAGCAATCGGGTACCGGTCTAGTACTGTCTGCATGCGTGATCGGGGTTGGTCGGAGCGGTCTACCTCTGTCGGCATGGCTCGGGCTTCTTACGATCTGGTAGGGTGGAAATCTGGCAACGATCAAGCAGAGGTCCATTTAGTCTAGTTGAGATCGTGTATGACTTGCGTATAGGTCTGGGTGATCGAGAAGAAGTCGGGATGTTGGTCGGGTTGTCATCGAGAAGAAGTTGTAAAACATCGTGTAGGGTCGACTTGAGGTCATGTAGGAGTCGTGAATGTGCATTTAATCCAGCTTTGTCGGCTTCATCGGGGAATTAATGTGATCGGGACAATCGAGTTGATCTGATCGGCGGTGAGAACATAGCATTGAGATCTTATAAGTAATTGAAATTAAAATAGATATTTTAACATCCAACGAAAAATTTGGAAACTACACTTTACCACCTAAAATAACAAGTCAAATAAGTAAACAATCAAACAAAATTCCAAGTTTTAATTAATGAAACAACTACTTACGGAATTCTTTTCTATTTCAAGACGCTTCTCTAGAGACCCATTAATACCCGTTAAATTTTTCAAGTCTTCATTTAATTTATCCACTTTATTTCTTAACAGAGTTACTTCAGATTCCATCCCTGCCAAGTTATGTTTTGTATTTCGTAAATCAGATTCTAGAGTTAATATTGCGTTGTCTTTGTTCCTTGAATCTTTTTCCGTTGATTTTTGAGTAGTTTCTGTTCTCTCAATCTATGAAGAAAGAAGTTATGAATTTATTAACAATACCATTTTCTCCCAAAATATCTTGAAAAATTAAACAAAACAAAACACAGAAAGTTTAATTCTGCACACACAAAAAAACCAAGTCGCAAAATCCCATCATTGTGCTCTAAGACACTTGATAAGTTTCATTAAAATATCTTATTCATTGAGTAAGGTCAAGTTTAAAGTTCAAATGAAATTGTTAAATTAAATATAATTTTAAACCAGTTGAAAAGATTATTCTAAATACAATCCTTTTACTATCATTTTTTTCTTCTTTTTTTTCCATCTTATGTGACACTAACACAGTAAAGGTCCTACAGCAATTTTCCAGCTTTACTGGTAAAACTAGGCCCCAAATGCCCCCTTCATTAATTTATTTCAAGCATGCACCTAAGCTGAACCACCAGATGATGAAAGAATCCAATGTCCATAACAAGATTCAAGCCCATAGGGATGAGGGGTCTATTTTGGAGTAATTATATTGTACTGAAATTGTAATTGTAATTTGAAATTAACTGTATAACTGGAGTAATTTGGCTTACTTTCCTAATGACATCTTGAATCTCAACCTTTCTCTCATCGTTGTTTTTTCTCTCAATCTCAAGCTCTTTCTCCAGGTGAGATTTCTCGTTCTGTAACTTAGTTCTCTCCCCTACCAGAAACTGATTTACCTCCCTTGTTGATACTGCTTCTTTCATCTGTTCAAATGAAGTTTTGTTGATAAACATTTAATAACCATGAATGTTTGTTTGTTTTTCTGGTTTTTATGCCAAACTTTTACATGTGTATTTGAGTCATATCTTGACAGTCGCTTCACCAAACAATCTTTCCTAGATAACTAACCAGTTATTACCAATTTTTATGCCATTGACAGACCGCTAATCCCAGCTGATTGGTGACAAACAAATGACTATCAGATTCAATGTTTAAGGCTCATTATTAAAGAGAGGGTACTATGATGAAGATAGAAATCAAATTTCATTAGATTATCAACAATGTGTGTGTTTTTAGCTTGGTAGATTGTAGCATTCATAGTTACTTTTCTCATAATCATAGAAAAATAAGCACAGGTAACATTTAAAAAAGAATCATTATTCCTTAATGCCCTTATACTGTAACACTAACATTACGTCTGTATAACTCATATAACGTCACATCAAAATAAATGCACAATCATGCCAAACTATTTATGGAATGAATATAAATTAAATTCACTATTATACAGGAAAAAAGTTGTACAATTATTTTACCTTGAGAGTGAGTTCTGAGATCATTCTAGCTATGTCTTCTCTATTTGCTATACTGTCATTGTGTACTAGCTCCACTTTACGGTGTAAAAAATCTATCTCTATAAGCTGCCGGCTAAACATAGATAATAAGACATTAATTTAAATGATGGAAGCTAAAAATAGTAAAACAAGTAAAGTAACATCATATTACTTGAATAAGACTGCATTTTTTAATTTTAATGCCACCTCATGAAAAGCAGGAACAAAAACAGATTATCATTTGCGTGTACTTTACCTTAAGGTATTAGGACCCTAATGGGCACTATCAGGAACAAAAAAATTGACATCATAAGTCAGATGTATACCTTAAAGTACACCTGTATGCAAAATTTAAACAAAGTTTACCATACGGAAATCAATTATGGCCACTTTTCTGAACTCAAGCTAGGATGTTATGAGGGCCCTTTTTTAGAAAGTAGGAACCTTTAAATAATCTGCAATAACATTCTAATGAAAAATGTTTTCCCATTAATTTTTGGTAAGAAACAAAAAGTACCATTCAGCTAACAATCCAAATAAGCAAAATTATGGTTTCTACTTAAATTTATGATATCTGTAAAAAATGTTACCCTATCCCACCCATTTTTACCACGTTTCTGACCATTTTTCTACTTAGGGAGCCTAATTAAAAAAATTCTTAAAATTTACCCAAATGAGTGCCTGTTTTCAAAGTTTCCCTAAATTTTTAAAAAAGTATATTGGTTGATCATGTTAAATATGAAATACTTTTACCGTCTAGTTTTGATTATATTACACTTTGAAAATATCAGGTACCATATTTATTACTAGATTTAGCATAATTTAGCCAATAAATACCTATATAAATTAAAAAATCAAAATTAAACACTTTTTTCTTTCCAAATGGGACATGAGAGATACATAAATAATGTTAAAAGAAAAAAAGAAAGAAAAAAAATTTGACCCTTCTGGGGATTGAACCCATGGCCCTCATTTTCAATTTAGTTAACAGTAGTTCTAGCCTATTTGAATACTCTTCAAAGCGGAGGTATTAGGGTGCTAATACCTTAAATACTCAATGTCAATACAAAGACGGGATAAATTGCTTGTACTTAACCTCAAAATGGTCAATGTCAAAACAAAGATGGGATAAACATTTAAGCATGCGAAAGAAAACAAATATGTATATGGTATCCCGTCTGTACATTTTCCATGAATTTCCATGAAAACTTCCGAAAGTTTCATGAAAATTGCCGACTCTGGATAATTCGGACTAGTTTTCCGGAGTTGTTCAAAGATAACTGAAAAGAAATCGTGAATTTTCATGTACTTCTTCATGAATTTCCAGAGCTTTTTTCATGAAACTTTTCCAGTGTTTTCCATGACAATAATCCAGAGTTTTAAAAGCAACTCTGGAAATTGTTCTGCTAAAATGACATACTACTCCGGAAAAACTGTTCCAGAGTTACTCTGAGAAATGTTCCGGAGTTACTCTGGAAAATGTTCCAGAGTCGCTCTGGAAAAAGTTCTGCAGTAAGAAAATAGGATCTGGAGTGAGATGTTATTAGCCTTGAAATAATTCTGGAATTATTATGGAATTCACTCTGGAACATTCTGGAATTACTATGGAATTCACTCTGGAACATTTTGGGATTATTACTGAAATGATGTTTGCATACTAAAATCAAATGACCTTTTAATTTGCATTTGTGTTTTTATTAGCAAATACAAAAAAGTACTCTAGTCGTCTAGAATTCAAACACTAATAGTAATTTGCACATTTCACAATTATGTCTAAGTCAGAGTGTTTTATTCAAACAAATGTAGTTTAACATCCATCTAGTACACATGTATATATCCTTCACTTCACATGATACAACATCTTCTTGACTTGTGTTGTGACCTCTCCGATGGATACTGAAAAATTGAATTAATTGTATATAAATACATGTACTTAAGTTATATGCACAATGTCAATATCATTAGTATTATTTAAACATGATTGATAAAAAACATGAAAGGGTGAAAAAAGTTAAGATGGAAAACTTTCAATTAAATGATTTTTGCAGAATATCAGCACAGAGTTATCAAGTAAACACCATGCTTTGATGAAAATAATTTATTTTTGGTCAAAATTAACATTATGATAAACTTGTGTCAATTATTTCCCTGCTTTTCCTATATCTATGTAATGACAACTTTATGTAATGGCAGTTTAAATTACTCAATGTTTTCACAAGTACTTAATTACCACTGAAAGTTTGAGATGTGTTCAGTAGAGTCAGTATAGAGATATGTCCAGTGGAGTCAGCAATAATATATGCATAAAACATGAAGAACAACATTTTGTTCAGTGTTTGGAAAATAGCATGCATTTATATGAAAACTTCGCCTTTTTTCAACAAAACAAACTAAATTATTACCAGGATAGTTTTGTAAGCATTCTGTAGTACATTTATTCATTTTCCTCATCTGATATCCTTTGAGTTGAAACATCTCATGTGACTCCAAGACTTGAAAGTTTGCAACCTAATATGTTGAAATAATAAACATATGTACATGAGTAACAAGAAATTACACTTAAGGCATATTATGAATTTCCTTAAATGTGAATTTGGAAATTCATTGCTTGATATGGAATCTGTTTAAATCAAAAATATTTTGAATGGAAAATTTAATAATAATTATCTCTGATTTAAAAATTTCCCGCCATTATTTAAAAATGAAAAAGATTTTCTTAATTTACTATTAATATTGAAAAGTTACATTTATGTAGAAATACAATCACTAAAACAGTGTATACTTGCAAATAAAGTTTGAAAAAACTAAAATAATAAGTGTTAAAAAATAAAAATACATTTGTACTTACTGTTAGAAATGGTTATATACATGTAGTTCCCTCCATTTTAACTGAATGGGCTTGATGGGCTTATTACGGTTTTATTTTGTTTAACTTGAAGTGTTTATTTTGCTAACTGCTACTTTTAATTACAGTGAGTACACATGTATGACCAAACTCAATGCTAAGTAATTAAATTCATTTGTTCTTGCTGTTTTTATATCTAGTCAACAATTTACAATTGTGTCAATGTCATATTTTAAATTGTCTTTATTTTCATTATGTCTTAAAACCAGAAAGCTGTCTTATATAAAAAAAATCATTTATGCCTACTTAGGAAACAATATTAAAGTTTAATGTATTAAGTGAAGTATACGTAAATGCAGAAATCAAATGAAAATTTCCTAAGACCAAAACTTACTCAAAAATGACTAAGTGTTTTCCAGAGTAAAACTCCTTGAAAATTGTCTAAGTGTTAACTTTCCAGAACTGTTTCATGGTTATTTCTTTGATGAAAAAGTCAAGTTCCAAAGTTCCCCACAAAAAATTGTTCCAGAGTACTCTGTAAATACTGTGGAAAAAAGCTTGTTTCCATGAAAATTCATGGAAATTCATGGAAAATCGGTTATTTTCCAGAGTTTTTCCAGAAAGACTGTGGTAAATCTACAGACGGGATGTCAATATAAAGGTAATTGCATTAACAAATGATAAGTTATAAGGACTAAAAAATGTAAACCCTTGACATTAATGGTTAACATAGGTTAAATATAGGCCAGGTTCATATAAAGCATATAAAATTAATAAAAGGTGTCCACATGTACTAATTATTTTGTAAAATATGAAAGACATAACTTTTCTTTTTATTTTAGGTTGGTCCCAGCAAACACAAGACGTCACACTGACGTCAAATTTAAGTCAGGTTCTGACGTCGGATGACGGTCGGAAAAAACGGTTGGATTTGAAAGTTTTTTGACGGTAGAAGTCAGAATCTAACCATTATCTAACCATTTTCTAATAAAAATCTGACCATTTTCCGACCAAAATCTGACCGTTATCTAACCAGTTTCTGACCATTTTCCGACCTCAATCTGACCATTTTCCGACCTCAATCTTACCATTTTTAGATCTAAATCTTAACCCTTTTCTGCTCTTAATCTGGCCATTTTCTGACCTTAATCTGATCATTTACCTAATCCTTCTTGTTTACCATGTAATAAATATTTTCTGGCCAATCCTGATTTGATCAAATTTAATGTAACTCATTCTATTAAGTACCTTTCACTCCAATGAAATGTATAACAAAAAAATCAAAGGAAAAATATGTTTTTATGTTTTTTTTATTTAAAATAAAAGTTGCGATTTAAAGTTGATACATACAGGTTTATTAAATTCTGCAAGGCTTAATACTTTTCATAAATTAAACAAAACATAAAATAAGTTAATAACAAAACAAAAAGTATTACAAAAACAATGACATAAATGATACTAAGAAAACATATACAAATATTAAAGAGCAAAATAATGTTTGTACATTTCTATCAAAGTTTGCCTTATCAAATAAAATAATGAAAATATTATACTTTAAGAAAAGTTAAAAGATTCGGGTAATAATGTTTCAAGCAATTAATGACAGATTTTCAGTATTTTAACTATAATTATACAGCATTACTAAAACATTTTGTGCTATATTTTGACCTCCTTTTGATAATTGTCACTGACGTATTAATTACTTCCGTTTAATTATTTTACAAAGTTAAACTTTTAAATATATACGAGAATTAGCACGAATTTGGAGTTTAGATATAGGACCTTCTCTCACCACCCCCTCGCCTGTCCGGAAAATATGTTAATGTCCAATAGGGTTTGTGATATCATTTTCACTGAAAGAAAAAGAAATTTATGAAAATTGGAAAAATAACAAGCAAAAATTTTTTTGTGGTTATCTGCCCGTTAGAAATTTTGAAAGCTGTCTTTACTTAATGAACAATTTTGGTAACTTTTAACAAAAATTAAAAGTAAATATAAATACTGAAAATTTAAAAGACCGCTATAAAATTCCAGTTTAGTATGGATTATAGTATGTAATAGAATTTACAAAATCTTACTTTCCCTTGTTTCTTTTTTACATATTTCACATATTTCTGTCCCTCCGACCTTTGAGAGCATGACCAACACATGAACTACCCGAAAAGAAAATTATATTCTAACTTACGTATAGACCTTTTTACAAAACAATTTTCCATATCAACGAATGCTGCATTTCGCGCAATAACGATGTCTACAG